CTGTGCACCAACTACAAACGGGAAGGTTATCTTACGTAGTTGTTAGGAAATTGTAAAAAAATCATTCGTCACCTACTCCTTTATTTTAGAAGGCCCTAAATTGGAATACAGTACACTTGGGCTAAATACTGGTAATTCGGGCTACAAATACTTGTAGACAAAGTGCTGCACCACTACTAGTCTCTGGCGAAACATGTAGGAACCTGCTCTTAGGGACAGGCGAAAAACATGATCACGGTACATCTAGCAACATTATTTTAATTAATTATTTCCCGCACGTGTGTTGTAATAATATTTACCAAACTTTGCATGGACACTGCGACGACCCTGACGATAACCCTGTCGAAATTTTGTATCTATTCATACACTATGTTTTGTAGTATTGATGTCGGTTGCATGTCATGGAATTCAGCTTTACTAGTATAGATTTAGAATTTACTTTTGCATGTTTCTAGTCATTGTCCCTGTATGTTTCTAAACAGTCTGTTTTAAAATGATCACTCCTCTGTATAATGATAACCAACATACGTGAACGACGCATTTGTGGTTTTTCACGGACTTTTAATAAATGTTTTTAGTAATCATTAATGATGCCTAATGAAGTAAAATACTTATTTTTATGATATATTGTACAATAAATGTAAAATTAAAATATCATCGAATCTGGTTTCACTATAATGTGAAATACTTCAATAGGAGCTCCAAGTATTTACAATATCAACCGGGGTTTTCTGGACTATATTTTACTATAATAGAAAAAAATACTATTAACATGGAACATAGATGTTTTTGAGTATTACAAAATTACTAAGATGTATGGTTTTACTGATACTTCTCGTCCAAAACAGTTTCTGAGTTAGTGTTGGGAATATTGCAAAAAAGAAACAAAATGAGTTCTTAATAGATTAAATTTTTTATTTCCAACCTCACAGGTCAAATGGTGGATCACACTAAACGAGCCCCAAGCGTTCTGCCGTGGCTACTCTGGCGACCACTTCCTAGCGCCCGGCGTCGAGCACCCGGGTGTCGGAGAGTACTTGTGTGGACACACAGCCCTACTGGCTCACGCCCACGCCTACCATCTGTACGAAGAAACCTACCGCGCGAAGCAGAAAGGTAAATAATAATATAATGATTCACGTAACTTATTATTACAAGCAGTGAGAGGATTTTCTGCCCTAAAATATTCTTGATATATTCTATTAAAATATGCACTTTTGGCCTAAAAAATCTGAAATATGCAATAAAAACTAACAATATTTGATTTACTAAATAAAATCTTCTTGATAAAATTAAAGAGAAGCATGCTTGTAATGAAAAGTTATATTTTAGTGCAAACGTCCACTTCAAGGGAGAAATAATTGAAGAAAATATTAATTTTAGTGAAGAATGTTGTGTTGCATTTCTTCCGCCTGGTTTAAAAAATTTGATACCAATAAATAACCTACATTAATAACAATATTATTATGAGCCCGTTACAATCCCTTAAGGACTAGGGCCTCCTGGTTTTCCAGGGAAGTTCTGCAGGGTTATGTGCCCGTGCAGTTTGGTTGCGTACAACTATGCGAATGGATTCTACACATTAAGCTGTTATAGATTACTACTAACTTAACAATTGTCGTGTAATTTGACTGTTAACACAAATGTCTTTTAATATTGATATTGTTTCCACAACACTTCACTGGTTTCACGTTTCTTCATTTCCAACGATTCAGCTTCTTTGAAGGGACCTCCATGACACTCCATGCAGCCATACTCAACCAATTTCTGCCAATTGACTCCTTAAAGTTGTTCTCCCCTCATTTTCTTTGTCATCCGCGATTATGCCATCCAATTCTTGATTCCCATACGGTTGAACCATAGGTCCAAGTGTTATCATGTTTTATGACGTGACTTCCCCATTACCATTTTTGAGTAAAGGTTTGATCTATTACAACTTTTATTTTTGTTCTACTTCTTGTTTCCATACATGTAACGTGGTCTTTAAGAGATATATTAAGTATATTTATCTCCATTTTTCTCTGGCACCTAGATAATTGAGCTTTCGTGTTGCTGTTAGCAAGTATGTCTGACTTCCATAGACGAATGTAGATAAAATGCAAGAGTCTAATAAATGCATAAGTCTGTAAATAGTCTGTAAATAAAATGCAGAAGTTTTTTCTGTTTTATACCTTATACTCTTAATTTGCTTTATGTGAGTTTTTTGTGCAGTAGGATGAAAGACAGACTCCAAAACTTTTGCCATGCAAGAGTGATACGTCTACTAATTTTACTGTTGGGTCCAACCTTTTGGCATTCTTCATTTAGTTCTTCTAACATTCCTTGAAATTTATGGTGGATGTTCGCCTAAGCTTCCTTCACTCACCGTTCAGTCGAATCAACCCCAATTTCATATTGCTATGCTCTAAACCAACGGAGAAAAATATGCAAATCAAAGAAACCCACTCCCCAATTATAAGTATTATTATAATTAATATTGAATGTACCATAGATTTAATTTTCTAAAACGTTATGCTCCAGTTTAAGTTTTTAAAGATGCAACTTTGAAGAAAATATTTCATCCAAAATAAATAATTATCTTCAATATTGTATTTGTAGGATTTTTTCAGATATCCCGTTTTCATCCTAGGATTAGTTTGATAATAAACTTGAATCGAGTTTCATAACATTCTGAACATTTTGAGACTTCATGTAA